GTTACCCCAAATAACAACCTGTCTGTTCCAATCCTTAGACCAGTTCACTACACTTAGCAATCTAGTATTGGTACGTATTCTGAGAAAGCCAATATGCAACCACTGGTATTCTCACTATTTCTTTTATACTGCAATTATAAAACAACCCTTTATTGTAAGGAACCTTGGTATTCTAATGTGGATTCCTTAGGCAGCTTTCAATAAAGTGATATTGAACGGTAAGCAAAAATAATTATAAGGCATATAAGAACTTTTTTAATATTTACCCAAAAACAATCATGCTTTAAAATGGACGATGGTGTTCAGTATGTAATAAGTCACAAACGAATACCTCTAAATACACAGTTGGCTTCATAAAGCTTTAAATCAGACCGAGGATAAGTTACACAGACAATTCTATTCAGAGTCATCTTTTTATACTTCTATACACCCTTGTCAATAAAATAGCATCGACTCAAGAATAAATGATTCATAAGGCATTTACAACTTCTTGTCTCATGTAATTTATCTTTATAATTTTAAATTACTAAAGAACCCCAAAGATCTTTTCTCACTAAAGTATTGTGAAGTCATCCATATTTTATTAAGTTTCAAGGACAACCTCCCACACCACACCCACACTCAAAATTAAGTAACCATTAAAATCGCTGTGAAAATTCGTATACCCGTAAGGGGAAAAAACTAACCGTACATTAGAAAGTTGCGTTTAGCAAACCATTCATTTTTTTTTACCTGTTACACAACAACTAGTGATTATAAAGAGTTGAAGCTGTCTATTTTAATATCCTGAAACAATGGAACACCACTCTGAGTTTGCATTGTTCAGTCTATCTTTTTTAAATTAAGTGTCCTTCTTCTAGCTTCACTGTACATATTTTTTTTAAAGTCATGAGTATTCTTCAAGTTATTAAGGTAATTTCCTACGTCGGTCCCAAAATAAAAAACTTGATTTAGCCAAATATTAAATTATTGATATTACAAATCTGTTAATCTATAGCACATTTTACTTATTTGTGTAATATTAAAATTCACTTTCATTTGATTGACTGTTTTAATCTTCCTTAACTAGTGAGTCACTGAAAATAAATGGTGCAATCGTAATACGATAAATATGAAAAATAGGAAGTACTTAGGGACTGCAGAGGAATACATTAAAATCAGTCCGTTTTCTAGTTAACATATTCTCATTCTGTTTGTGTGCAAACCCAGTGCATTGAGAAGACAGATCACAAATTCGCGGCCTCACAGAAACATTGTGCTGATACTATGTTCTGACAGCAGAAATTGGCCCAAAGTTCTAACCATTTCGCCTAAAGGACCCTGACTGGCTGGTGCCATCCAGGGGCAGCACAGTCTGAACAAGGGGAACATCGTGTCAAATTCCACTCGTCTGTCAGTGTAGTGGATTATTTCTTGAGATACTGAGATTGGCTGCTTGGGATCAGAGCACCATCCGTCTTACCACGCAGGGGACGTGAAGCTGCCTGTAAGAGCGTGGAGAGAGGGGGACCAGCCGTTCCTAAGCAGGTGAGGAGGCAGCTGTAAAGCCTTCACTCCATCCAGGGATTTGAGTGAAAGATGTGTCATTTTTCACATTTCCCAGATACTTGATATGCACACGGTGTCTGCCTGCTCCTGCTTCATGAAAGAGGTGATTTTTCAAGCTTAGGCAAATGTGGCAAAGCTCAGGGTCTGCTGGTGTCTCATTTTTTCTCATCATGTCACTTGTTTTAACTGATTTGAGAAAATGAGATTATGTTTTTCCTTTTTGCTCATTTATCCAGCTATTTATTTATTTATTTGCTCATTGAAGGGGGGATTATCACAGATAACTAGCCTTGATTTCTCTCTTGTTTTCATACACATTTCATTAGTGTCCCTGAAGATTTAAGACCTACGAAGTGAAACATCACAAGTCTCATCACAAAAAGCATATATTTACTCTTAAAATCAAAACCGAAGATTGCATTAAAGAAGATTGTATTTCTGACTGAAATAATCTAGAATATTGCTATGTCTAAGATCTATTGCTTTAATCTTTGCAGTGATTGTTGAAAAACCCAAGAAAGTTGAATAAACCTAATACCTAGAACCATTGGACTTTAGTTAATATCATTTTCATCTTTCTACATCTAGGAGGGAGTATTTATAGTTGTTATCATTTCATTGATGAATCTGAAATGGGTCTCAAATGTATAAACGCTTGGGGTTGAAACTGGCTTCAGTGCTGCAGTTTTTGGGGGTATTTGAGGCACAGATGAACCACACACTGACGATAATAAGCAATTACTAAGAGGAGACAATGGAAAAAAATACTGAGTTTAATTGCGGACAGAGCCCAATGATGTATTTCCCAGTTTAAAATTACTGTATTTTGATAATAAGCCCCATAAAGACATAAGTTTGTTATAAGTAGCATAGCCATAACCCTCCACCAAAAAAATCTAATATATTTACTGATTAAGAGAGACAGTCTACGTGAAAGCTCATTGCAAACTGTACCGTATTTCTTGACTGTATGCACAGGGCACAAAATAAGACAGGTAGCATTTGGTCTTATATTCTAGCCAGGTACCACACAGTTAAAAATGACAGCAAGATTAAAAACAAGATTGTTGTTACTATGTGGATCATTAGCTGTGTGAACAGCAAAATGTCACTCATTCAACATCTGTGATATGCACATTTGTAGTCTACTAAGGGAGGATGCCGGTAATTCCTGATCTTTCTGAAGAGCTTTACATTTTACAAAGCACTTTCGTGAAGATTATTTTATTTACACTCCCCACAATATCCCTAAATGGGAAATGTTGCCCAGAGAAGAAAAATGACTTGCCCAAGGTCATGTCACTAATGTTAAGTGACAGAGACGACGGCCCAGCCTAAGTTCTGCCATCCTCAAGTGCCACCCCTCACCACTTCCACCATGGCCACCTTTCAAAATGGGTCTGCAGTTCAAATGAGTCCGTGTATTGACATAACTTGAAAATTTTCACGAATTACGTGAAGGTGCTCACATCTCTTCAAAAAGGCTACTTGGCAAGATTGTGCTCTGTACTGGGAGCCATTAGTTCCTCCTTGGGAAACAGGCTCTGGAGATGAAATCAGACCAAAGTCCCCAACGGCAGGTATTAGCTGTGTGATCTCAGGCAAGTCGCTCAGACCCTCAGAACTTCAGTCTCCTGAGCAACAGGGTGGGAAATTACACCTACTTGAATAAGAATTAAGCGAAGCAAGGTGAATTAACCTTAACAGTGCGCCTAAAGCACTCACATTAGTTGTTTTTGTTTTGCGTGCTTATTGTTAAGTATTACAGTAAATGCCGCTTTCTCGCGTTATTTGTATGACTTTGTAACAAGTCAAAGACGTTTTTTGCCAGAACAGATTGGAGATCTACTGACTGGAGGTAACTTGGGGATTCCACGTTTTTTGTATTTTTTTTTTTTCCCCTCCAACTCGGCACTGGAGCCTCGGACTCTGGCAGTGGCTGATCCAGGCTCAGGACAAGAGAGGCAGAAATACCAGCGCGCAGCATGGGCAGGGCCGTTTCCAGGCCCTCCCGCAGGGGCAGGCCCTCCCCTCGCCTTCCCTCCCGGATCCAGGGCTTTGAGAAAGAGGGCGGCTGAGGCCCAGAGGCAGCCCTGGGCCTGTGCCCCAAGCTCAGCCCCCGCCAAACCCCTCCTCCCGGAGCGACCCAAGGTCTAGCATCCAGCAAGCTGGCGCGCTCCCCTGCAGCCCGCGTGGGAGGACCCGGGCTGTACACGTACTCTTTAGATCCTGCCCCCAGCCGGGAAGCAGAACCCGGGAAAGCCGCAAGCAGCGAGCGCCCTGGGAGGTGTTGCTGGAGGAGAATGCCGAAGAGCGCAGGATCGGTGCCCAGGCTGGCTGCAGAGCCAGAAAAAAGCAAAGGCTAGACAACGCAGCTAGCGGAAGCCTGGCGGATGGGAGGAGGCCAGGAAGGGATTTGGAAGGAAGGAGGGGTGGGGACGGAGAGCTGGGAGCTCTAGAGAACTAAGGATCCGGAGCTTGGGCGCGCAACTGGTCCCCAGAGCCCGGTCTTGGCGATCGGGTGGGAGGGGGAGGGGAAGGGGTGCGGTGCAGGTGACGGGTGGAGTAAATGGATGCAAAGGCTGAAGCTAAGCAGAAAATGGAAGGCAACCTTTCCGAGAACCAGGGCGGGTGAGGACAATCGAGCTGGGGGAACAGTAATGAGAGAGCTGGAGAGGCACAGAAGGAGAGAGAAATCCTGATTGAAGAGTGAGGCCATGGAAGGGTAAGAAATATACTTTGAACAGAAAAACGAAGAAAGCAAAATGCGTCTGGAACTCAAAATTCGATATAGGAAAAAAAAAATCACGCTAAAGAGAACTTGTCCCGGAAAATGCCGAGAGATAGGGGAAAAAAAAAAAAAAGGCATCGAGCATACCGCAAGAACAGAAAGTGAAAGAAGGGAGAAAGGAGAGGAGACAAACCAGACAAGAAATAGTAAGTTACTTTTTAATTTCTTTTTCACTCACAAACTACTTACAAAGTTAATTTTGGCACTGACATCCACATAAAATCTCTAGCCACATACACACCAAGATTATGGTATCCATGCTAGATAAAAATGAATCCCAGGAACATGGACACATTATTTTCTTGGTTGCAAAGATCATATTTTGCCTCAAAAATTCCTCAAGTCTTGAAAGTTATCCCACCTTTTGCAGGATATTTCACTCTTGACCAAAGGTATTCCAAAACAAACGACTTCTCCTTTTTAAGGTGTGTGCCAAGGGGTGGCGGGACTCTTAGAGAAAACCACCTTTTCTGAGAAGTTATTAGAAATACCTCCAAGACATTTTAGTATCCCCCTCTTTCCCCAAAGCATCCAGGCAACAAGTCTTGAAATTCCGAGGCAAGCTGCCCACCCTGTAGCACTTTCTGTCACTTGCCTTCAACCATCTGTTAAAAGACAGCGGTGAAACGGGAGGCTGCCGTGGAGCCAGCTTCCAACTTACCTGGTCTGCGCAGGTGATGGTGCTGGAAAGTGTGCTGAAGGGATCCATGGCAGAGCAGCATCGCACAAGCACTTATCCACAAATACAGGACCCAGGGCATCGCAGAGACCATTGCCATTCTCTAAAGAGAACATTAGACAGGAAGGATTACCCCCGGGTTTGAGCCCCCAGCTCCGTCAGTCCCAGTGGTGAGAGAAGGGGGGTCTCAGACGTCATGTGCCTTTGCTACTTTGCTGGTTAGAATTAGTGATCCAGAAGAGGTCATGCCACAAGGTGGGACTGAGGGAGGTCACTCTCCATGAGATCATGAATCCATTTTTGAAATTATTCAAAACCAAACTCTTAGGATGGCCAAAATACAGAAATAAAGTTTTTGACTATCTGTTAGGCAGTGTGAAACACTGTATCCTGACTAAACATGCAGTTTTACACAATGATCTTTAAGCTATAGTTATTCCAGGCATTGAAAGGCTGCACGCTCCTGTTCGTTCTAACTTCATTGCAAGTCTGACATAAGCCTGGAAGGAAATAGTGGATTCTTTTTTTTTTTTTAATTCTACAGTCATGAATTTTTAATTCCAATGCTGTCGCCTAAACTAAGTAATCATCTCTCAGAGGCATGTTGTAATCTCCTAAAAGAGATGGTCTTTTTGGCTGGACTTAAAACCAGAAGGAATTATCTTCAGCCAGAATGAGTTTCGGATACAAGATCTAAGCATCTCTCCTAGAGCAAAGCATAATTTACAATATTGCTTTGCCTCCTAAGAGCCTATCGTGGCATTTGTTGTAGTGTTGATGAATATGCATATACAGGTGGTATACGTATTTATGGCTGAACATCCACCTTTTCTTAAGCGCTGAAACTTTGACAGTCTTCTCGGCACCTATGAGAATCTCAGGAGCTACAAAGGCTCAACTGCGCTGCATATTGTCCAGTTTCTCAAACAACACCTTATGCTGCATTCCATATTTGTCAAATTAATCAAACTTGAAGCATCATCCTTAGCCAGTGACATGGAAGCATTTTCTATACAGGAAGCCAGTTAAGTATATGCCTTTCTCCTAGATAGATCTTTGGAACCTAGATTGTTTCTTTCTTTTTTTTCATCTTGCCACTGTCAAATCATACACTTCAAGTATTTCAACGCTACATTTAAAACCTCCTAGTGACCTCCCAGTGTGGCTTCTTTATTCGTGGAAATCGGTACTCTTTCCAAAGCTGTGATGTTCGGCAAGCAAAACGTATACATTATATGTGTGTGTGTATATCGACATAATACAAGATAATTTATGTGTTTTAGGAGAGAGAGAGATGTAGTCTTTAAGAAGGGTTTTAGAACTATAATAGACAAATGGTGACAACCATAATTAAGTGCAAAGTAGGAAAACATTATTTTCAACAGCATGGTGCCTTTCATGCCCCGGTCTGTGATTCACATAGACGATTCACTTTATAATTAGTTTCACAGCCCACTGTTTACTTTTGTGTACAACGGATTTAACCTCATTGTCTTCAGAACTATCGGTGTACCACAGATGCATTCTCTTCAGTAAAGATAAAGAGCAACACCCCTCCTATGAATTCTGAAATGAATGCATTTGGGTGCCTTTTCAAAATACCCTGCAAATTATAGAAAGACAAAATAGAGGTGACTGTGGCATGCAATGATTGCTTGTGAATTTCAGTTAAAATGCACTAGGAATTCATCTAAACTTGAAGAAAGCCTACCACAATCAAAACAACAGTTTTTCATTGACGGCTTTCCACACAGATCTTAGCACTCAAAAAGATTGCTGTGACTTGACGTTTGCAGTATTTTCCTTCTTTTTCTTTTTTTCATTTAACTTTCTTTAATTCTCAGCATTACTTCCAAGGTTCCTGCATATAGCTCTCTTTGCTCACTCTCTTACCAAGAGGTTGTCTCTATGGTAATAGGTGTTCCCCACCCCCCGCCCCGCAAAATAATGCATTCAGCCCTACATAGTTCTCTAGACCTGACTGAATAGGTTTGAAATCTGCTTTCTGAATCTTAAATCCTTAAAGAGGCTTCTTACCTGAAAAATCCAGCCAAGAGCAGAGTACTCTATTAGTGTTCATTGGAAAGCTCTAACACTTTCTAAAATCCATCTGTGCCACAATTGGAGATTTTTTAAAAAAGAGCTTCCCAATAATCTTCTTTATCAGGATTTAAAAAATATGTTTTTCTCTTCCGATGCTACTCCCACAGTAAAGAAGACATTGGGTTCATTCAGACTGTATTGTCAGAAAAGGAACCAAGGTTTGAGGACTGGAAACCTTGTCATTTTCACCTTTAAATCATCTCCTGGCGTCACCTCTGCCTGACGAGACCTTTGAAGTGATGGTGAGATATTGTGCAGTTTCCTGATGAGAATCAGTTTATAGTTAATGAGGGACCATCCCCACTCCAGTGCATTCAGGGCAGAGTAAGGCAGCAAAATGTAGGAGCAGGGCTGCTATATGGCGCTGTAAGTAGCAATAGTCTCTTTCAATACATCCCTCCTCTGTAAAGTATCACATGTCTTAAAGTGACATTACCCTTTATTATAGCTACATTGAATTGTAATACCTGCCCACTAACTCCTGAACAACTCAAGCAGCACTTTAACACTGTATTGCCAGGTACGTCGTTCTCTTAGAGATTTTACGGATACTATTCATTTGCCGAAAGAGTAAAGAGGGAAGGAGAAACAAAAGAAAAAAGCATTCTGCAAAATACTGATAGTGTTAATGGGTGTTAGACTCCTAACAGCAAATGGGAAAGTGAAATGTAAGCCATTTCTTACCTCTTAATGTTCTTTTAACCAGTAAGTTAACCCAAAATATTGTTGAGTTTACACAAATTTAAGTCTGTCGATTGTTTTTGGCAGCTAAACCTGGGAATATGGTCTATCTAGACTACAATATAGATGTTTATAGGCATAAGCACAGAGCAAACCTTCTGAGTTTTTTAACATGTTTAATAAATAGAAATATGTCATTTTCAGCATCGAAGACTGGATTTAAATAAAGAAATATGCTCAAGACATTTTTTAAAAATTTCCCTCAAATAACATGCTGGGGTGGGGAGAGGAGACACTCAGAAGTTCAACATTTTGTTTCTAGTATTATGGTTTAGACACTTTCTTCTTTGGAAATATAATGTCACTGTACCTACACATTATCGATGCATATAAGGTGACCTAGTTTTCACTTACAGATTGCACGAGCAATGATTCATTCCAATAACTCAATCAGTTATTTCATGAATCACTTATAAAGTACCTACTATGTGTTAGATGCTGGGGGACAAGGCAGAAAACAAGATTGATGTGATTGCCACTGTCATAGATCATACTGTTTAGTCTTTAATTTTTTTTTTTTAAATCAAGGTAGTTCTCAGAATATTCCAGCCTCAAAAACCTCTCCAAGTGCCTCAGAATACTCTCTTGCCTTCCACAGGCGTTATAAGGAAGGTTTGATGCTGCCGTGCGTCTTTAGAAGCCGTTCTCTCCTCTCCTGTTACACAGAGTGAGAGAATGAGAGACCCTTCAGACGCATCAGTCTTCCCCACTGGTCCTGCACAGTTGCACAATACACACAGAGTAGCTCTTTGGACCCTAACAACCATTTATTAAAGCTCATCAATAAACAAAGTTCAAGGTAACAGTAAATACAAATCTTAGAGTGAGAATAAGTCGTGCCAAAGTTCTAGATGGTGTTGCGTGTTTCATTTCTGTCATTCATTATTGTTGAGTTGGTGAGTGTATATAGAAAGCTCACACCGACTGTTCAATATCAAGACAAAAATGATAATAACTACAGTAGCAGCAGGTAAGGTTTATTGAACCTTCACCATGTGCTGGCACTACTCTATAGTACGTTGCTTATAAGGTGTAATTTAATCCTTTTTACCACCCCATAAGATAGGTGAAATGATTATTGTCTTCATTTCATGGATGGGGAACCAGAGGGTGAATAGGGAGATTAAGAAACTTGCTCAAGGTATTATAGCTACTAAGTGATAGAGCAGATTTCAAACCCCAATGATCTGGGTCAAGAGCCCACCTCCTAAACGCCAGGATTAAACACTTCATGGAAAAAAACAACTCTCCAAAATTAACCATTATATTTTCTCATTTCTTTACCATTAAGACAGACTCAAAAAATTATTATACATTCATTCAAGACTTATATACTGAGTACATTCCAGGCATTTGAAATATAGAAATGTGGAAGGTAGTACTTACCCCATGTCTTTGTTTGTTTGTTTTTTTTTTTTGGTTTGTTTCTGTTATGCTAATGCATTAAAAATAAAAGGAAGTTCACATTTGCTAATAAAAGCTATCATTTGAAAACGGTACATTATATTTTTCATTTCTAGGGATTAAACTAAGGCTCAACATAGTTTCTTATCTACAATTCAATTTAATAAACTTGAAACATACTCATGGATTATGTTCAAGGCACTCAGGCGTTGTTAGATTTTTTCTAAACGACTGGAATAAAGACTTTCCCTTACTTTTTTTTTTTTTTTTTGCGGTACGCGGGCCTCTCACTGCTGTGGCCTCTCCCGTTGCGGAGCACAAGCTCTGGACGCGCAGGCTCAGCGGCCATGGCTCACGGGCCCAGCCACTCCGCGGCATGTGGGATCCTCCCGGACCGGGGCTCGAACCCGTGTCCCCTGCATCAGCAGGCGGACTCTCAACCACTGCACCACCAGGGAAGCCCCTCCCTTACATTTTTAAGTGGCTTCTATACATGTATGTGATGGAACAAGAATATCAACCTAGTTCCTTTTTCTCTTCCAAATACCTTGTCCATTGTATTGCAGCCAATGATCATTTTCCCTAATAATATAAGCATCAACAGATATTGACATTTAAGGCAATTTAGTCCATTCTTCCATCTCAAAGCAAAATTACTCTCACACCTTCCAAAGAAGTTTGGCCTTTGCACCTTTGACCATGGTAGGACTCCATCACTTGATCACTTTACTGTTTAGTGGGCCATAATGTTCTGGCCAATGAGGTATCAACAAAACTGATGGTATCTCTTTGAGGCTGGAGCATTTAATTGTTGAAGCAACACCCTGTAGATCTCTCTTTGCCTCTGGAACAGAG